TCAGTACCTAAGAAAATTGCAGTTAAAGGAAAAAAGCATGAAATTGAGTCGCTTCTTCCCAAAAGCCTTCGGAGCGGTCCAAGTAATAGCGTTGGGGCGCGCTCTGCCATGTACCGACGATCGCGGCGATCGTCGCTGCGTCGCTGCTGTCGCGAAGTATGAACGCTGCCTTGGAGGAAGTTGTGCAGAAGTCCGGGGGCTCCTGGTGGCAAGTCGAAAATACCTGTTAGGTTCAATGCCGCTGCTCGGAACTATCAAGAAATGATTTGAGATGGCTAACGATAATCTTTCCGCTGTCCGTACGATAGGTCATCCACTTTCTCAATCCCTCCACGACAGCCATTTTAAAAGTAATCTTTTTGCTCTGAAGTGAGAGCGGCTGTGCGCTTTTCCGTGAGGTGCCTTCAATTCGAAGGCTAGAACCCAATCAGCAGGCCAGAATACACTTACGGGAGGCTTTTTACGGAGGCGGGCTTGCGAAAAGTGGGCAGAGTTCACCGTAAGAGCGCCGGAAGGTGAAACCTTTGAAAGAATGGAGGAAAAAAGAATTCGCAAAATCCTTCGAAAGGTGACCAACGCTGACAGCTCAGGATAGCTCGATCGTGTCAGTAACTGAATACGCTCCCATGAAATTGTTTCATGTGGAAAGTTGTGAGAAGGAAGCGTTGAAAAAAAGCTAACTGAAAAAAGTTTAAAGCGTCCAACAAATTCCTTAGAAAAAGGGCGAAATCATCACTTACATCAAAAAGCAAAAAAAATGCAGATCAGGAATATTCATATTGCATTTTTCACATTCATGTTGCAGAACCAGAAGCTGCATGCACTATAGCTTCTGGTTCTGCAATATGAATATAGCGAATAGTATATATAAAGTAATAAGTAATAATAGTAATATAAATAGCGAATAATTCTTCATATGCGCCCCGATTGAGGCTTCGTCTCTGCACGAGATGAACACAAAAATAATTTCTCACACTTTTGAGTGTATTTTCAGGTCAAGTCGGTGAACATGGCTTTAATCCTCGATTACGACGAGAAAACGTTACGTGAACACATGGAAAAGCGTGGAATGGGTTTGGAAATCATAGATCAAAGGATAAAGGTACGGTTCTGAATTGAATGCATTCTCAAGCCTAATTAAGATCGCTAACTAAGCTGCTCATTCCTGCGGTATTATGTTTTAAAGAAGTGTATCGCGCCGCAAAATGATAATGCCATCTACAAATGTTTTGAAAAATCGACTTTAGTGACGATTTCGAGAGGTTCCCACAAAGGAGAAGTTAAATAAAATGCGAATTCATGCAATAGCACGGAATTTCGCCGCTTTGACGCAAAAGTTGCTGCCACATATTTCTTCTGTTTTGCAGTTCTTTTTCAAAACGTTCGTTTCTGAATTCTCCTTTCCACCAACAGGGCTGTAAATTCCCTGATTGTGAAAAGGAAATTGCCAGAGCAAAGATCACAAGTTTTCACCGATTTTGGTGAAAAAGTGGTTGCGCCAAATTGGCGCATAATGGCGCCAAATGGCGTCAGCGCTCAAAACGAATGTGATATTCGTGATCAGGGCATCGAATTACATCTATAGGCGACGTTTTACCGAGAAAAAAAATTTGAGTTTTTGGGGTAGGAATAGTTCAATATGTAGTGCCCCAAAGTTACATTTTTTTGTTGGGCTCAAGCAGTTGTCCTCATTTTTCACGATGTTTTGACGTTATCTCTTAGAAGATGAACCGTTCTTATGGCGGAACACCTTCAACAAGGAAAGAGATTAGCTCCTTATATCTAGCTAACACTCATCTTTTGAGAGAGAAAGAGTCGCGCCATCGCGAAGGAAGCCGACTATATTTGTTCGATTTGAAATTTGCCTCTTAGTAGAGGTGAGGTCTGCTATCCTATGTTTGCCATTGCGAGCTGTTGCTCTGCGTGCTGACCGCGGATCACGGATGCACGTGGCAGGCTTTCGTAACGAGCTGACCCACAAATGCAAGGGAAAGTATGGGCCAATTGCAGCTCGAGAGACATCGGTGACAGCGATGAAGTCGTTGTGGCAAGCCAAGGACTACCAGAAACTGTGACTACAGTCGTCTCTTCGTCCCTCGACTTCCCTCGCGCTCACTCACGAACATTTTAGCGGCTGCTTGATGAAAATCTGTCGTCGTTCGTAACCTCAAAAATGCTCTGTAATCGTAAAATACCCAGGTCATGCTTTCATAAATATAATTTTTCTCAAAGCGCATGACCAAATATTTTTCGTTGTAACGTTTTTTCAATGGCGAATTAATTTCGATACCCTGTACAGCTAAGTTACCGATAGGAGACGCCGTCGTTGTCGCTGGTGATGCGAATGGATAAAAGACTTCTAAGTTGCCGTTGGAGCTAGATTTGGGTCATACGGCACCGATAGCGAGCGAATCCTCGAATAGCTGGAAGTCCATAGTTCCATTTCAAAGACAAAATTTTAGGAGTATCAAAAAAAATTCACATTGCCGTTCTTAGGTATCGCGATCGAAGATTCATGGTAGACGCGTAGCATGAGGAACATTTGCTATTCAAGTCTGCCCACTGATCTGTTATGAATCGCTGGTGGAAGGCATTTTTTTGCGTAGCATAGCAAACACTTTCCAGGTTTTGCTCGCATTGAGTGCTGTGTGAGTCGTGACGGAGGAGAACGGCTCCATTTTCTTGCTTTACGAGATAGAAGACATTATATTGGCGGAAGTCGTCTGAAAACGGCAGATTCTTTTGCAATTTGGCGGACATCCGTTTCAGCATCATCGTCTTGCGTGACCATCCCCCCAATAAATTAAAGAACGGTATTGTAGCACTCGTTTAGAGACATATACGCCTAAATCCATGATTTAACAAGACTGGAAATGAGCTTATAAGAATGAACTAAAGATAAGCGTATTGCGATCAACATCACTAGTCTTCGAACAGTTATATGAACGATTTGGCGGAAACGGTCAGTTCACACGTGATTAGAGTCAGAATATGAGGATAATGAGGATAACATAGCAGCCATCGTGAATGTACTGCACAATAACCTGAGCGCCGGCTGGTGGGAAGTCTATTGTTCGACTCCCTATGTACAGCATACGACTGTTTGATCTGCCCGATC